CTGTACAGTGAAGAGTAACCACCCACAAAATTGTCGCGGGGATGAAGCAGGCCATTCTCTTGAAAGTGCTGAAAACAGTGGCTGGCCCACGGAAGAAGCCAAATAAGGTTTTGCTCTTATGGGAATATTAGTAGTCTTTGTGCCTAGTAACAAGTCTAGCACTTAAGGGGTGCTCAGTAAATAAACAATCACCTTTCTAAACAATGCATTTGAACAAATACTTCTGACAAAGCATGTACTCCCAAAAAAGGGAAAAAAAAAATAGTGGTTCGATTTTAATGCAAGCTTTCTACTTGCTCACCGAAAATAAAGGAAAATGCCATTTAGAAGCTCTGATTTCAAATAACTTGAACGCTAATTGCAGTCATTCATAACATAGCCACTCATCATGACTCCAGTGCTATTACTCACAGAGATTTATATAAAAACAACCTTACCCATTAATTCTAATTTCCTAAATGGTAAAAGTGCTAGCCCCATGTTGAACTAATGGCCCATAGAATTTCATACTTAATGGATTCTGGAAATGGTGGCAGAACTATCCTCTGGCAAGATATTTTCAAGTCCTGCTTCTACCACAAAACATTATAAGACCAGGTGGTTTCTAAGAACTGTTTCAGGACCATGGCAAAAAAGGGGCCTTGTCTGCTCTGCTCCTGTCACAACCAAATATTCCACACAACCAAGTATCTTCACCTGGAGCACCTATCCCTGTCCCCCAATGAATAGGCATACCAGAAATGTTAGAGATTAATTAATCAGTAAAAAAAGAGTGACTGATGGGGCAGTGAAGAGGGAGGAAGGGACTGAGAGAATGGGGGAGAGGGGCAAGAAGGCCTGACTTCTCAAAGACAATAAAAGCCAAGGGGTGTGTGGCAGTAGGGATTCACGCATCTCAGGATGAGATATGCAGGGTCCCTTCTTCACCAATGTCACCCCTCCCCCATAACCCCGCAGCCCAGGACTCCATTAATTATGACTGCCACCCGACCATCAATGCATGGACTGCACCAAATCTTTTCTGTAGGGCTCTGGTGCTAGAATTCATTATTTCCCATTTTTTACCAGGTCAGGCAGATGGAAGAGACTGACCCAACATTTATCTTCCAGACTTTGGGGGCAGGAGGTACTCAGGGATTCAGGGAGGCAGGGGATTACACATAGGCAGGCCCTCTAGAAGGCATCAATGTCATCCTCTGGCCCCCCGGTGTTTTGATTTCACTTTGAACAACACCTCTCTAATCACATCTCTCTCTTTCTACCCATAAAGCCTGAAGGATTTGGGCAAGTGACTTATAATAATAACAAGTCCTATATTCATGCAGCTTTTTGTCTAAGGAAACTGGATGCCCTTCCAAGGTCTCATCATTAATCTTGTAGCCCTTCTGTGAGGCGGGCTGCCAGCTAACAATGCCTATATTTAGCAGAACAGGAGTGGGGCTGGGAAAAGGTTCCTGTAATGTTCCTATGTAGGACTCTGATTAGTCTAGCGAACAAATAAAATTGCATATTGTGCCCTGAGTAGCTAAGGAACAATGCCGTCTGCAAAAGAAAGTATTGCAGGAAATATGCTGAGAAAAAAAGTTAAAGATACATTAATAAGAGGAGACTGAACAGGAAGTATCAGTTGGGACTTGCAGGCAGAACCTTTAGAGGAAACATTAGCTGAGGCCTTCCTCACAGCCACCAGCCACCACCATCTCTGTCACTAAGAGACAGAGATGTCTGTCTGTTGGCTCTTCTTCCAGAAGCTCCCAAATGCTATCTCTTTCCTTAATTATATTTTTTTTTGTCAGGGAATCAGATCTTGCTTCTCATTCTAGAAAGTACACTCTGAAGATGAAGAGGAAGCAGGTGTGGGTGGATGGGTGAGTGAGGAGCGACTCACTGCCCAGTAGGGTCATCTTTCTAGCTTTTGTATCACTTGCTTTGCATTTTTTTTTTCCTTTTTGCTTTTAGATTCTGTTATTATCTCCACTCTAAAAGTGTGCTCTCCAAATTACATGTGCTAATGCTCCCTCAATTAGAGAAAATAAGAACCCTGCTACCGTGGTTCTCTCTGAAATTGTTGGTGTTTAATTGGTGCTTCAAAAAGATTTTGACAAGTGGAAGCCAAATGCTTGCAGTAGCTAAGGTTTTATGTATTTCCTTTCAGACTGTGTCCTGTCAGCCCCCTGCCCCCATCGTGCACGGCTGCTGCGTAAAGGGTCCTCATGGATACAATAGCAACCATGGTTCCTTCTGTATCTATCCCCTTGAGCCACTCTGCAGGGTGCCTGCGGCCACATCTGTTCAGCAGAGGCCTGTTCTTGGTTGGTGTAGGGTAAATGAATTAATCAGGCTTTTTACACCACTAGCCTTGTGGCTATCACCTTGGACCTTGAATGCAGAAGGTGCTTGGGAGTGTGGGCACGCATGCCTGATTGTAGACACCTAAAGTGTAAGTGCCTAGAGGTCAGGGATATAGGGCAGCATCAGAAACTATGGCTACAAGGGGACAAGAGGCTCCAGAAGAGGTGAGGTGTAGGGTAAGTGATTATCAGGCTTTTCTGCCCTTCCGCCATTGGCGTTGATGATGGATCCCTGCAGTCTTGAATGCATGCCTGATGGCGGGCATCTGGAGTGGGGTGTGGGCATAACGTAGGTGGGTACACCTGGGCTGAGACTGGGCTTTTCAGGGTGGCATCATGAGGATGCCAGCAGAACACCAGACAAGGAGAACAGGTGAGAGAGTGGAAGAGAACCAGCAGAGAAGCAGAGGCCACGAGAGACCACCGGAGATCCCAGAAAGAGTGAAGACTCGATGGGGGCTAGGAGGTCTGCCAGCCTCCCGGCCCCCTGACACCCCTGCCTGCCGTGTATCTGGTAAAATCTCCATAAAAGCCTGAAAAGCCACTGAGGGCTCTAAGACTCTCTTTTACCCATCTGCTCAGATCATAGATATCTTGCTCTGTGCCTTCCTGGCACTACATGAGGCCACAAGACAATACAAGGAAGAGAATGCCAGAGAGAGCCCAGAGAAAGAGTGTAAAGGTTTGTGGGGGACTGGAAGGCTCAGTTGCCTGCCTGCCTCCCAGTCCCCCCTGCCTGGCTCGTCCCTCCTTTTATGCCAGCCTCCGTGATGGTGTGCCTGTGTGTCTGGTTCCCTGTGAGAGCATTAAAGCCTTAAAAATCTACCGAGAGCACGAGGACTCTCTTTATCCATCTGCCTGAATCAACAGTGAACCAGCCCTGTGAACTTGCCACAAGAGTTGGCGAGCAGACAGCCCAAAGGGAAAGCTCACCTGTGCTCCAGAAAATGAAAGTCAGTGTTCCTATTACAGAAGTAGAATCATTTAGAATCTGCGCTCTTAAGACTTCCAGACAGACCCTGTACCTGTCTGCCATGCTTTGGTTTACCTGGGGCCTCTCACTTTACAAGATGATGTTTACATGGACAGTTCAGTGCAGGAAACCAGCCACTCTCCTTCACATACTACACAGCGTGTCACTTCTCTTTTTTTGCTTACAAAGAATTTAAAACTCCTGCCTTATATTTGGAAATCACATTTTCATTACAAACTTCTTTTATAGTTATTTTAGTTAATCCTCTCAACTCCCAGGTGAGATCCACATCATTACTTTCCATTTTTCAAGAAACTGAGGTTCAGGAATATAAATATCATCATATCAAACTATGAATATTGCCAGAGTCAGGAGTTCAACTCACCCCAGCACATTTCACATCTGATCACAGGCTTTTACCCCTGAGAGTAAGTTTATTTATAATAACTTCACAATGTTTTACAAATCATTATATACAATTCTACAATGATTATGTGACATAACTGGAATTTTCACATAATGAATACAGATTATGAAAGCCTGTGATTTGAGTGGTCAGAAAACTGGGATACATTTATCACAACTGAACAGAACTCAAACAAAAAGAAAAGAAATGTTCTGGAATAAGATACGTAAACTGGAGCAGGCTGCAGAAGTAATAGGAAGGAGCGAGTGACAATGACAAGAGGAGGGACTCAGGCATCTGGAAAATCGGGGTTCAGCAGGAGTTATAAAAGAAATGCACATGACACGAGGGGATGATGACAATCACTTCTTTAATAATAGGAGATTTTTGGATTTTTGTTATCTAAAACATGCAAAGAGAGAGCCAGCAGAAGGGAAAGATAAGGAATAAAGAGAAAAATTAAGAGAACTGATTCAAAAAGAATTAAATAAAATTAAGTTCATGGGCTAAAAATCTTAAAATTCAAAAATTATTGGCCAAAAGGGGGAAGGTGCTGGAGAAGTCAGCTGCAGGGCTGCTGGCTTGTACTAGCAGGAGGAGGAAACCTGGTGTGATAAGAGGCCCTGGGCCTTTGACAGCAAGACTTGTTTCAAATTCCTTGCATTTCTGTTTACAAACCTAAGCTTTGTAAGGTGCTCAACATATACTCAGGCGAGTCTCCAGAGGACAATTTCATCTCCCTTATGTTAAGCATTAGATACCATCCCTGATAAATGTCTGAATTGTAATGAGGATTTCTCATAGCCCATGTATGAATTTATAACAGATGAAGCCTTGGCTTGAAACAAACTAAGGTATAAAATACTTCAAGGTACTTAGTTCATGGGTATCAGTTCTCAAATTTTACCTCAAGAGGCAAAATGCTAGTTAAGGGAAAAAAATTAGTCTGATCACTAACATTTAATTTAATTTATAACATTTGAGAACTAGGGAAGTTCTATAATGAGACCATTAAGAGAGACAAAGATTATATAATTTCAAGCAACACCAATAATTTTTTCACTTTAATTAGTGACTTTTGGAAACTAAATGTCATATTTATATTCTTTGTGGAATGCTTTTAAAATGGCAGTAGGAACAAAACATGCATATGTAACTCAATTTAATTTCCACAAATATTTTAAGAGAAAACGTTTAAAGTCCTTAAAACATTTGGTAAGAAATGCACCTTTCAAATGTTTTAAATGAAGAAAATAGCTCATTAACTTGCCTTGCTGAATAAAATGGACACCATGAAGAAATCCAGTAAGAAACTCTCCGAAGCATCTTTATAGTCAAAGTGGAAAAAGATCACGGTGAAGCTCAGGTGAATGTACTGGTGAACTGGGTTACAGAACGAGGTCCGCAGCAGCTTCATGCCAGCGATGATCATCAGAAAGATATCCCAGCTATTGAAAATGAAAGCAAAGAAGAAATCAATGAGGGCAGGCAAACAACAAGATGGGACACAAGGGCTGATGTTTTTTGAGGGTTGATCGTTTACCGACACAGACATAAGCAAGCAGGAGGGTAGGTCTGCTATTCTGCCCACCTGACAGAGAAGTAAGCTGCCTCTCAAGACTTTGAACAATTTGTCTAAAATCTTATGCGACAGAGCTAGGACTAAAACTCAGTACTCAGTTTCCAAGCTGCCCTGGGGCTTATCTGAAGGACTACCATAGGGTCCATGGAAAATTTAACCAGTGAGTATGCTGTCCCTGTTGACATCTGCCAGGATATATCTTTTTGTTATAAAAGAATCTTACTGAAGCTTTGACCTAATAATAGTTACTACTAAATTCTGAAAAGACGGGAAAAGGCAATAGCTGGCTACGTCATTTTACTTTTACATATTAACTTCCAATGTTTTCCGGCATATTTGTTCTCCAGTGAACATAAGCTTTCTGGCCTCTCTTTTGTTTCTGTTGAAAATTATATCACCTTTATTTCCCCATAGCATAGGATTTTTCAGTTAAGGAGCTCACCAAAACAGACCAGTGAAGACATACCAGGACTTTGCTTTGAGGGCTGAATTCCTGAATTCTTTGCTAGGGAGTCAGATTATTTACCTGTGTGGGGAACATGTGTATGTGCACAGTTCCACTGGATGATGAGGTCAACAATGCCCAAGCCCCCTACATTCAGCTGGGAAGGCAGCTGACATCTCAGAGCAGTCTGACAGAGCAAGCAAGTGCCTCCGTGAGGGTCTGCTTTTCTGAAGGAAGCCTTTGCACAGTTTAACCATGTTACCCCCAGTTAGAGCATCCTATTTGGGAACACAAAACAAAGATAGGTGGGAACACTTTGCAGGGAATGATTGCACTTGAAAGACAGAGAGAACTTTCCTTTTTCTGGCTAAGTACGAAAAACTCAGTCCATGTCCCATTGCCCTAAGCCCAGACCCTCATGGGGATTATTAATCTCTTCTCCCAGGTTGAGGGCAAAACTAACAATATTTAAGAAAAAAAAAAAAGTGCTTCCGAAGTCTTTGCATCTGTCGGGTACAAACTTGTCATTTTTGTAGTCAGTATTGGTATTGGCAATACCGTTTGCATCAGCCTGGTATTTATAAGCCTTCTGAACTAGGTGTGCAATTGTTTTCACTCTGCTCTAGGATGAATGGGGTGACATTTGCACAAGGCCCGATAGGATAAGCTCAGAATTGACCTCTGAGAAAGGAGAGCCCTTGATTACATGCGATTTGGGGAGAGTGGGGATGCATCCAAGGAACTTCAACAAAGTCCTCAAAGTCCTTGTATATTACTCCACAACTCGCCTTCCTTTTCCAGTAGACTTTCCAAGTGCCTCTGACAACAGTCTAGAGCACAAAAATCCCAGTGGGCTAGACAAAACCCTTAGAGGAGCCCCATTGACAGGGTGTCTCAAAACTAAGAATATTTTGGTTTTCAGATGAGATATTCTGGATTTTTCAGGCCAAATCTCCATGACGGTCAACTCTTTAACTTTCTGTTTTCTGTGACTGTGGTTAACATGGACAGCATTTATTTTATGCTTATTAACAATGACTGGTTGAGACTATGGAAGATCTTAGGGATTGATGTTTATGGCTTTTATAACAATACAACACTAATGTTCATGTTAATAGATCCATGTAGGGTTAGCTGAAGATTATATAAAGGCTCAGGTAGGAATGAATAAACAATGCCTGGGACAGATACAAACCATCCATTCAGATGGGGCTAAAAAATAGAAATACTTAACAAGACATCACAATTCACTCTTCCATTTACCAATCTTCCACCACATATTCATCCATCCATAGTTCTAACATTTACGAGAGCTTTGGGTTGAAGTTGAAGGAGAAACAGTGCCAGACATTAAGGCACTTATCCGATTGTTGGGATAGTGATTCTCAAAGAAGGTAGGATGAGGGTTAGGCTTATATAGTTTGAAACAGACCTCTAGGTGATATGGGATCTCATGCTGCCCTGTTTGCAAACAGTTGGTCTAGTGGGGTGCTTGAAATCTTGAGAGAACATTTTATAAGTGTTCATATGGATTCCTCAAGAACATAAAGACACTGTCAGCTTTGGGCTCTAAGTAATTATTTTTGTGTCATCTGGGGAGTTGAGAATATTTGGCAGTACATAGGTGAGACGTTACTTTACGACTTTGGTGTATGGAAAAAATTACAGGGGCTAGCGAACAATATTACATCTCTTCAAATTATTTATTTGACTTTGAATGACTCCCAACCCTTGCATCCATCTTCGGCCAACAGCTAGAACTGTTTGACCTCAACCTACAAGCTTAGGGCCTAATTTTTGCACAGGAAGCGCTATGAATTATTCAGCTCCACAGAGCAGTACTGGTACCTTCTTTGCTACATTGGTTCTGATTGTAAACCCAAATTCTAAAGAATCTGTCTTGTTCTGGGATGTCATCAAGAGGTCAGCCAGGATTGTACCAGACTAGAAACACCAGTCACTAGGGGAGCACTCGCTGTTCTAGATGGAGAGTCATTGTCTGGACTTGTATATACTCATACTTGCTAAGAGGTCTGCAGTCCCATGCCTGCCTTCTTCATTCAGTGAGACTGATTTTCAACCCTGAGTGGGAATTCTAGCATCTTAAATAACAAAAGGCATGGCCTTTTTGCCCTGACCTGACACAGATCAGGACTTGAAAGAAAGCAGAGTCTGATAAAGACAGGAAAGTTATAGGATCATTTCACTTAATGTCTGTTTTGTGAATCTATTTAAAGCCTAACAAACTAATCAAATTCTTTCTATCTTAGCTAGTTCAGCCACTGGCAAATATTTATTAATTGTCCTCATAGCACCATGAAGGGAGGGACAGGCTGGGATTAAAATGCTCAACATTACCCATCATGGTTGACTTGGGCATGTGATTTTTAAGCAACATGACTAATAAGTAAATCTGGGAAAGACTATTGACAACCTCCTACTCTAACAACTTATTTGACCAGAAGCAACCTTTTGTCACAATGACCAATCCACAAATTATCAAGTAGATTTCCATTTTCAAAATCTGAGTTAATTTTAACATTTGAAACCAATAACTATACTTTGCTAAAGCTTTGCAAAAACATGGCCATTTTGACGGCATGGAGTCTCTATGCTCCATTTTTTCAATTATGAGTCTTTGCCTGATAAATGCAGATTAAGTAAAGACAGTGATTAATCCCCCCTCCCTCAAGTACGGAATGAGATTATTTGCTAAATGAAACTATATAAGGCAGTTGATAAAGCTCTTAGCATGATGGTACAAACTCCAGGAATCCCTGACTCACACTGTGCTTCTGTCACCTTATGAAGGCTCAGTGAATAAGCTTTTGCAGGATGATTTTCAAATCTACTGACATCTATTCCCAACATTACTTGAAGCAAATCTAATTTCATTTGCACTGCAGTTACTCTATGATAATCATCTGACTCTAGAGAGTTTGAGTAAAAGACCATGACTTCCTGTGCTATGGCGGTTAGTGGGTAGACATGAGTTGGCTTCTGCTGTAGTCTGTTTAAAGAAGAGTTGCTAAAATTTGAAACACTCTGATGCAAATCATTATGAAAATAAAACCCGTATCTACTTACTGGGTACCAAGTCTCCGGTAATTGCTTATTGAAAATGCATCAATAGTGAGGGCATTCAAAATTATTGCTGGGTACAAGAGATATTTTTCAAAACACTGAAGCCAAACGTAGAGTCTTTCAAACCACATTAAATGGGCGACATCTGAAATAAACACAAAAACTGCTTAGGACAGCTGCTGATCAAATTATTTTTCTTTCAGTGCATGTAACAATAAATAATATCCTTTAACTCAAAAGGTGATGATTCAGAACTCTAGATACTAGACACGATCTACCAATTTTCTTTCCAGGTAGCAGTTCTTGGCTTTGCCTTTTACATAGTTCATAAAAAATATTCACCAACATAGGCCTGTATCCCAATATTTTAAGTCAATTGATTTTTTTCACATCTAGTTATTACCAATGAAATGAGGTAGTCACAAAAATGTCAAGCATCTCAGTGTAAGGCCCAAGGAAAGTGAAGGATGAAGAAACTCTCATGGATCCATCTCTTTGTAAGGTTGGAGTCACTTCTGAAGTTGAGGCTAGTTTCGGGGCTCTCCTCTCCCCCTTTTGGTATTTAAATCCACATTCAAAATTTGAGCAACATATACAAATAAGAGGAGGTTGATCGCAAGTCCCTATTTGTATGAATGTATTACATTCTTGTGGGCCTTCCCACCTAAGGAAGCCCCGAGGGTGAGGCCTATTCCCATAAGAGCTAACAAAGGATGTAAGTCAGGTTGATGAGAGTTTACATTCAGACTCTCCCAACTAGTAGTGATTGTGAACTATTAACTTCATCTTTCTGAGTCTCAGTTTTGATGTCCTGCCCGTTCCTCTATCTGAGTCTGCTACTAGGAAACTGGTATCTCTTTCCCACTGTTCCTCACCCCATCATGGATGATGTGGATTGTAAGTACCCCTCACCCCTCTCTTACTAATTTTCTCTCTGGAGAGAAGTTCAGTGGGGAAAGCATCGCATTTCCCTGCCTCAGGTGTGTGGCACAACAGTCTGAACCCTCCTGTTTCTCACTTATGTGAGGAGGGTGCAGCAGGTTCAGGGTCAGGGTTGACCATCTCTTTCCCAGCCAATCTCTCCATTGGTTAGTGCCTTGGGCCCCAGATTAGGTGAAGATGCTAGTCTCTCCATAGCAAGTTTCAAAGTCTCTAACTCTGCACAGGGGGAAGGTGACCATCACACCTCTGGAGTCATATTCTTCAACAATCTATAATAAAAAAATCTATTCTCCAATAATCTATAATTAAAAAAACAAGAGCGCCATGAAGATTTACATGGTTTATATCACAATAAGCCAACTCATCAAAGAGAAAGGTCACATGACCATGCAGAATGACAAGACAGGGACATCAAATGGGCTGTCTCTCCAGGTGTCCATTCAAGATTAAGATATAGATCACCTATTTCTCACATTCTTCATCCCACAATAAATAAAAGGCCTCAGAAAGCAACACAAGCACACACATATACCACACACAACACTGGGAACTGACAGTTAACTTTCTTCTTTGTATAACTTACCTTTGTATATAAGAATGTGTTGTCTTTATAACTCATGAAGACAAAGCTATCTTCATTTGATTAAAACATAAGAAGAAATTTGGCATTGAGAGATCTTACTCAAAAAGAATTAACTTGAATAAGATAGGAATGATGAGATTGGATAGAGGGAAAAGACTTCAAGGCATGAGAAATAATAGTAAACACCCCAATGATTAACTTAAGTAGAGAGAGATACAATGAGAAATTATCAAAAGAAGAAGAAATTTTAGTGACAAATGGAACCAAGAGAGAGAGAGATGGAGGAAAATTAAGTTTAATAAAGAAAGAAGTTGGGGCCTCCTTGGTGGCACAGGGGTTAAAGTCTCAGTACTATCAAGCTGTCACCAGCCACTGCAGCATGAGTTCAATCCCCGGCCAGGGAGCTAACCCACATGGCACAGCAGACCTCTCCTCTATCGTCCACTGCTCCCCTCAGCAGTGTATTTCAGTAGATCCGCCTGGTCTGCTTCCCATTCTGTCTCTGGTGAGTCCTCTTACCCCCTGCACAACTGACCTACACCTCAGTTTTTGTATGCATAAAAAACAAATTAAATAAATCTTAAAAAAGTAAGGTATTTGGGTATGAATTCCACCTTGGGTATTTTTAATAGTCAATGCGTAATGTTTTCTGGTATAGACTTTGAAATAGGTTACTTTGTAAAGAACGAAGCTTTTGATATAGCATCAATGCAATTCAGGTATGTGATCTATCTTACTTAAATATTGAAGGGTTTTTTGGGGGGAGTATATGAAAATTAAGAAAAGAAATCTTCAGGATCCCCTCCTCATTTCCTCCAAGAAAGTGATTTTTGACCCCCGCTTCCTAGAGCAAATTGAGACTCTTAGGCACAAATTCCCTAAACTTCCCATCCCTCCAACTGAAATTTATCTACTATATCCACATAGTCAGTCCAGTCCCCTGGGTCCCATCTTTCCTGACATCTTGGTTCAATAGTCATTCCTTTGCTTTACCAATAGCACATTCTTAATGGCAAGTGAAAAGATTTAAATGTTGCCAAATTGAAAACTGACCTCATGTCATCCTAGTGCTCATGATGTCCTTTCTTGCACAGTCAACCTTCTTGAAAAGGTTTTCTATGTCTGATAATCCCAGTTCCCTGCCTCATACTGACTGCTAAAATATAAACCTCTGGGTGTTGTAGCTACACCTGCCCAGAACTGTGCAGGGCAAGGCCACCTGTGATACTCTGAGAAAGAACCAGCACTCCTCAGGCTATCTTACTAGACCTTTTTGAGGCCAAAAGAACAGCATAACCCTTCTTTTAAAAGTTCTCTCTGCCCAAATACTGTATGGTTTCACTCATATGTGGACTATAGTGAAAGAGAGTCAGATCACACCAAAAGCAAAAAAAAAAGAAAAAAAAAAAAACCTTTGCAATCTGTAAAACTAAGCCTACTAAAGGGGAAGTGGGGAAAAGGGTGGAGGAGGGACCCAAGGACACGGTGAAGGACTATGGGGGCCTTGGTGGTGAGCAGGAATAGTAACACACACCTGAAGAGGTGGGACCCTATATTTCTGAGTCAAATATGCTGTTGAAGACCAATGTTACCCTAATTAAAAAAAAAAACACTATAATAAAAAATAAAAATAAATAAATAAAGCCCTTAGCATCTCTATCCTTCCAATTCCAGCTTAGGCTCAAACCTCATACACTACTCTTGCCTTTTCCTTTGCAAACCCCTTTTCTCTTACCCTTGGCTACTTACTTTCTGTGGACCTCTTTCCTGCTCTTCTTACTTTCTCGAGTTAATGTTCTTCATACCCACGACTGTAACTATTCCTTCCATGCTGATGAGACTCACATTGGAGTATCCCTCTACCATCTCTTGCCTGACCGCTAGATCTAAATACTCAACTGAATAGCTTCATCTGATGTCCCAACAGAATCTTCAAGTACAAATCAAATACTGAACTCTGTCCAGCTCTAATCACCTGCTCTTCCTCCTGCATTATTTATTTCATGACATTTACATTCACTCACGGAGTCACATGGGCAGTATACCTTGAAGTCATCCTAAGTCAGTTCTTCTCAATCATAGCTGTATGTTGGAATCACCAGGGACAGGGATAAAAAAAAAATCAGTCCTAGATCTGTGATTCTCAAACTCCCATATGAAAATAAATCACTTGCTAAAGTGTAGACATCCTGCATTCCTAATAAACTTCTAAGTGATGCCAACATTGCTGACCCTTAAGCCATACTTTGAGAAATAGATACCAGTGCTATCAGCATCTCCTGGGCAGTTGGAAGAAATGCAGATTCTTAGGTCTAATCCTGAACCTGCCGCATCAGAAATCTTAGGGTTCAGCCCAGTAACTTGTTTCACTACAAGTGATTCTGACACATGTTCATGTTTGAGAACCACTGTTCTGGATGATCTTGCTCTATGTAAGACTAAATTGTGTGGATTCCATCTACTTATTCCCTGGATGTGTATTTTCACTGCTCAGATACTCAATCCCTTGTCTAAAAATTTATAGTTGTTATTTAGTCAAATAAACTCTCTTTCCTAACCCTGCCATTCCTGTGCCCTGAATCTCGTTATTTTTTACTATTTAAGGACATTCCTCATGCAGTTATCACTCACTCTCCTTCATTACTCCTTCATAACAAAAGAGTTATTTTCCACTCTTTACTGGCTCATTCTCATCACAACACAAAGATGCTATAATATCTTACCATCAAAAAAAAAATAAAAACCTCCCTTGACTCATTTCCATCCTGATGTTGGGTATTGTTGGGTATTTTCCAGATACCACTCCATTTCTCTGTATGCCCTTATAACAATTTAGCAATAAAATTATGGCTACACTCACTTTCTCCACAACTTCTTTCCCTTTCTCAGCTGAGTCCACTCCAATTAGAGTCTAATCCCAATTGCTCAATGAAATTGCTTTCTTACGGACCTCCCCCTTACTACACCCAGTGGTCATTCTTAATCTTATCTTACTCAACCTCCCAGCAGTGTTTAATCATGTTAATTATTCCCTTCTCCTTGCAAGTCCCTACATGATTTCATGGATTTCCAGGTCTTTAAATATAATCAATAAGCTGCTGGCTATCAAGACTATAATTCCATCCATAACCTCTTTTCTGGACTCCAAACCAGTATATCCAACTAACTTTTCAACATATCTTGAATTTCTCATACGTTCATTGAGCAAAGACCTTCATTCTATACTCTTTCACTTAAACCTACTCTTCCACGGTGCTCACCATTCATCCAACCCATAAATCATAACTGGACAGCAACAGTGTGCCACACACATTTTTAGGCACATTGGATAATTAATGCCCAGAACATTAAAAAAATCTCTGCTCTGATGGAGCTTGCATTCTAATAGGGACAACAAACAATCAGCATAATGAATAAGTAATTACATAGCATATTCAAAGATAACTGATGAGTGCCAAGTCAAAGAAGAGTAGTTCTTCCACAGTCAATGAGATTTCTCTTTCTGTGCTTCAGATCCCCTGGTCCAAGTCCCAACACCATTTCTTATCTAGACTAATGAAATTATCTTAGAACTGGACTCCTTTTTATTGGCTAATGTCCCCCACACTCTCAACATAATC